CATACATTTTGTGTTTTGAGTTTAATCACCCTCTATTTTATAGATACAGGAACTGAAAGACTTTATAACCTTGACAAGAAAAAGGCCTCTGGTAAATTTGTTTCATTCTTAATTTAATCACCACAAATAATGAGGTTGGTTTTTTCAACTTTGGAAGTAGTAATTTCATCATTATCTTTAGATATAATTTACACTACTTCAATAAATAATGTTTCCTGGGCCACTCACGTTGATATTTCTGAAATGTTTATGAAACAGTAACCAAATTTGTCTTGTCTGAATGTGTGCCTAGTATAGCAAATAAGCTTTTTTGTATCTAGACACAAAGGGACACACAGACACACATATACATATGCATGTATTTATGTATACATATGTATAAACATATTTACTCTTCATAAGTCTTCTCAATTTTGACTCATCATCAAAATCACACAGATGGGAGGATATAGAGACTTTAGTCTGCACATACTCTCTTCTGACTCCCTCTGATTTTCTAATTTAGTAGATTTCAATTGAGCCTGGGAATTATATTTGGAAAAGTTCCTCTAGATTCTGATGATTATTCAGGTTTGGGAGCCTTGTTCTAGGCATTTACCCGAGCATGTTTAAGGCAGACCACTTTGCTAATGTGCCCTATGTCTCGGATTCATTCCCTCAGTGGACCATTAAAGTTTTTCTTGCCCATCCACTGCTAATCACAGCTGGATGATCTCTGTTTTCCAGAATTGAAGCTCATTTCCAATTCCTGAACAACTGAACCAAGCAGAGGAAAAAGTGGTTGTCCTTCACAACCACAATTTCCTGCTAAAGTAGAATGAACACTTTCCAAGAAACCACAGCAAACTTTTGATGGCATAAAAAGGGCATCACTTATGGTATTCACTGGGCCACCTCTCTCTCCCTCCTGAACCGTAATGTAGATGGAACAGAAGTTCCCTGTGGGAAAGACATTGAGCAGTCCTGCCTGGCTGTAGACATTGTCCACAACTTAATCTTCGGGTATATCTGACTTATGACAAGTGCAACAATCCTACAAGTGAGGGCCTACCACCTGAGAACTGCTAACTACTCCCTCTTGCGCAAAGAAAAAAAAAAAGTCATTAAGTATGGAATGTCTGATTTCCTTCAGTACTGAATTTGACAGTTGACATATCTGACATTTTCACTTTGACACTTCCTGCTTTATTTTTGTTGTGAAGGTACATCCTCATTCTTTCAAATGAATGGTTTTGGCTTGTGATTATCTTTCAAAATTTTTAGAGCAATTTTTGTCAAACCATGGATAAGTCAAAAATTTGTGTTATTTTTGAATGGGTTCCACCATGAAACCAGTGCGGCACAGACAGCTCAAAATATCAGCAAACTGTTTGGGAAGGATGTGGCTAATAAACACATAGTACATTGCTGGTTGCAGAAGTTTCATTCTGTTGATTCTAATCTTGAAAATGAGCCACATGGGTGACCAGATACCAAGGTGGATAATGATGAGCTGAAAGCTATACTAGAAGCAAATCCATCTCAACCTACGCATGAATTAGCAGCAAGGTTTGATGTTACTATTCCAACAATATTGGACCATTTGAAACAAATTGGCAAAGTAAAGAAGCTGGATAGATGTGTACCATATGAATTAAATGAGCGTCAGAAGGGAAATCGTCTTGAAGCTTGGCTTTCTGTGCTGTCACAACATAAAGGCAAACCATTTCTGCACCGTATTGTTAGTATGATGAAAACGAATTCTTTTTGACAATTGCAAGCATTCAGCATAATGGTTGGATAAAGATGAAGTGCAGAAACACAGTTCAAAACTGAATATTTATCCAAAAAAGCTAATGGTGTCTGTTTGGTGGACCAGTGCTGGTATTATCCACTACAGCTTCATGAAACCTGGTCAATCGATTACAGTGGATGTCTACTGCAACCAGTTGGATGAAATGATGAGGATGTTTGCCATTAAGCAGCCAAGATTGGTCAATAGAGACAGGTCAATCCTTTTGCAAGACAACCTTGGACCACATGTCACACAAACAACGCTGCTCAAACTATAGGGGCTGAACTTGCAAACTCTCTGTCATCCACCCTATTTACCAGATCTTGCAGCAAATGACTACCACTTCTTCCAAGCTTTGGACCACTTCTTTCAAGGAAAAATATCCCATCCTCAACAATCTGTGGGAAACAAATGCCTTTTGAGATTTCATTGCCACTGGTTCTCCAGGCTTCTTTGTTGTTGTCATAAACAATCTACCATTAAGATGGCAAAACTGTGTCGATAGTTTATGTGCATACTTTGATTAATTGTATTGCTTCTTGTTTGAGATAATAAACTAAATTTTTAATTTGAAATCAGACATTTCATATTTAATGACCTATAATTCCAACACAATAGGTGTCATTTATAGATGATCAGAAGATGCCACTGGGGGGAGGAGATAGAGAAGAGAAGAGATTTGAAACAAG